TGAAAATTTTTAAAATTTATAATACAAAGTATATTATAAGTACTTTAAAATTATGCTTGATCTTCTAGTGAAAAAATCTAATAAATTATATTTTGAAATATAAAGATAACTAGTAATTTTTGAAGTATATATTTCAGTCTTTTTCATAGATATGCTTAAAGCTAATAATATGATTATAATATATAAATTAGTAAGATACAAAATATTATATTACATCTGTATAATTCTGTAAAATAATCTTAATAATATGAATCTTGTATCAAAAAATATGAATCTTAGAATATCAAAAAATATATAACAAATTATAAATAAAGATCAGAAAAAGGAATTTTCTATATATAATATTAAAAATATATTCTAAAAGTTCTTGTAAATGTTTGAATACTAATTCTTTTGTAATTATTTTTAAATAATTTTAAGTTATAATTATTAAAATATTATAAAAACTTAAATATTTATAAAATTTGCATATTTAATTATATATATTATATCAATCTTGATCTCTTTAAATACTAATTAAAATTTATCCAAGATATTTTGAAGAAAGTTGAAAGAATAAAATTACTAAATAATTTTGATAGTTATCTTCATCAAATTTTTTACTTTTCTAAATTAAAGTTCTTCAATAAATTAGGTTAAATAAAAGTAATGATAGCTACAAACTATTAATATATTATGAAAATTATTCTTTTCATGTTAGATAATATCTTTGATATATAAAGTAATATAACTTATAATAAACTTTATATATTTTATAAAAAGTTTAGTAGAATGCATATGATAAGTAAATAAAAGTTATTTATTAAAAATAATTTAAAAGAATTTGAGATAAAATAAAATAAAATCAATTAAATTTTGAAGAACTAATAATAGACTTTGAAAATGAATATAAATTCTTATTGTTAATTGATTAACTGAATTTAAGAGAATTTTTTTATTATTATTCACTATGAAATATAGTTTTTCTAAACTATATAGTTGGTACTATCATATAATTTATAAATATGATATCTTAAATAGTCTCTCAATAAAAATATACAAAATATTTTACAAGTCATATGTGAAAAATCTATACTAATTATCAAATAAAAAAAATGCAATGTAGCAGATAGTAAGTCAAGTATATTAATTGTGATTAATTTATTATAAATTCTAAATTATATTTATAAATAAAGTATAAAGAATTAGTTCCAATAATAAGTAAGATAGTTTATCATAAAACTATAAGATTTGACAAAATATTATAGGAATTATCTTTAGATACTATCAAAATAAAAGTAATTTTATTTAAGAATTTAGAAAATTTATCATATCCAAACTTTATTAAAAAATTATTATACATAATTACTATATTAGATATATTTCTTAATATATTATTATAAGAATTTGAAAGTAAAGACTTTTGTATAAAAGTTTATGACATGATTCATTTGGAAAGTAGCAAAATTTTAAGAGCATCTGGAAATTTTTATAACAAAGAGTAATTTAGTAATATTATAATAATTTCAGTTAAAGATTAAAGTCATTATAAATTAGATAAAGATATTTAATATATAAAGATAAATACAACTTAAAGAATAGTAAAATGTAATTTCAAATTTAATAATTTTGAATGAATTAATCTTTGCATTTTCTTTTAAAAGATACTGCTCTTTTTATAATTTTTTCAAGAATCAGCAAAGAACTCATATAATCTTGTTATAGTTTATTAATATAATATTATACCAAATGAGTCAGAAAAGTATAGTTGCTCTCATCTATACTATATCAAAGAGTATAATATAATTTTAATAGAATCTATAGATCAAGAGATATATATTATGCTGAAATTTGACAAAAAAAATCTTTTTTTATTAAATAAATATATATTTTGAAAAACTAATAGACAAGAAATTTTAAAGTTAAATTTACACCTATTATAAATTTTAAAGAAAAAAATAAATAATAATGCATATAATTGATCTATTTATCATTTATCTATTTAATTTATATTTAAAGAATTATAATAATCTGTAATTATACTAATCATTATAGTTTCTTTAAGTTACACTTCTTCAAAATTTCTATTTTCAGAGTTTTGTATAGATTTTGAATTAGTATAATCAAAAAATTAGTAATGATTAATATATTTATTAATTACTACTAATTTAATATCTATCAAATTTACTAATAAAAGATAGCTATTCTTTATCACAAATTTATGAAATGATAAATAATCTTGAAGATACAAAATGATTTTTTTTTATAAATCTTACTTCTAATTATTGACAGATCAAAATGAAATTATTTAATATAGAAAAGATGGTTTTTATTTAAAGAGAAGAATTATATAAATTCAAAGTTATATTTTTTAGACTTTGTAATATACCAATAACTTTTTAATAAGCTATAGATAATATACTTGAAGATTATAATTAGAAATTTACTATGATTTATATTGATGATATAAATATATATTCAAAAACTTAAGAAGAATATCTATTATATTTACAAAAAGTTTTTCAATAAATTAAAGAAGCTAGATTAAAACTCAATTTAAAAAAATATAATTTTATAACTTATCCCTTCTAGAATATATTATAACTCAAGATAGAATAATACTTAATTCTTTAACTATTTAATAAATTCAAGAGTTTCCTATTCTAATAAATATCAAGAAGCTTAGATTATTCTTAGAACTAGTTGAATATTATAGAAAATTTGTTAAAGAATTCTTATAGATAGTAGTATCTTTATTTAAACTTTTAAAGAATAATATTATTTTTGTTTAAACTATAAATCAAGAGAATATATTTTAGATTTTGAAGAAAAAATTTATTACTGTTCTAATCCTAATTTATTTTGACTTTACAAAGAAGTTCTATCTTTATACTAATACCTTTGACTTTGAACTTAATATAATATTATTTTAGAAAGATAATAAAGAAAGAGAATAAATAATAACATATGTAAGTATTTTATTAAAACCAGTAAAGAAAAATTATAATATTATTAAAAAAGAAATTCTGATTGTAGTCTGAACTATTAGATAATTTTGATATTATCTTCTTGAATTTTTCTTTGAAATTATTACTAATTATAATATACTTTGATAGCTATTTATTAAACAAGTTAATTCTGAATTTTAAATCTCAAGATAAATAATAATCATGATAAAATATAACCTTATTATTATTTATAGAGCTGAAAAAACTAATCAAAATATAAATATAAAAGCTCTATTAATTTATAAAAGATATTATAATTAATATTTATAATATTTTTTATATTTAAAAAAATTTAATATATTATATATGATTTATAAGAAATCAGATACTTCTACAAAGCATTATAAGTAAAAAAAATTCTTTTTATTAATTATAATAATTATTATAAATATAAGTATTTTTAAAATTATATAAATTAAGTATTTTATAATATATCTTAAAAATAAAAATATAATATTTGATAAAAAGAATAACAAATAAATTTTTAAATATCATATAAATAATTTATTATTAATTATATTTTTTTATATAAAAGATAAATATTAATATTATATTTTTTTTATTAGATTAATATTTTCTTTTATATTAATATATATCTTAATTCAATTTTTAATTATTAATATATTAAATTAATATATTATTTTTAATATAATTTTATTTTACTTAATAATAATAAGAAAAATCTCTTTTAAAATTTTTTTATTTTATATTATTATATTCTTAATATTTTTCTTTATCTTTTTTTTAAAATAATTCATAAATTTTTAATAAAATTAAAATCAGAACTATATAAAAATCATAAAAAAATATGATTCTAAAGATATTCTTTTAAGTAATTTTAAATATTATTAGAAATATATTTAAAAATTATTATCCTATTAAAAGTTCTATCTATAATTATATAATATATATGCATTATTATATAAATTATCATTAAGAATTTTATAATATAAATAATATTTCAGATTTTTGATAAATAAACATATTTTAATTTTTTTCTTAATACTGATTGCTATTCAAATATAAATTTTGAATAAATATTTTATTAAAATATAATAAATTTTATATTTCAAGATCATATAAGAAGGATATTATAAAATATTTGAATTATCATTTTATTAAAAAAATGATTTTTTTTAATTATATTAAATATAATCACATATTCTATCTTTTACTTAATAAATTAGAAAAGAGATTCTTCTAAAAGAACTAAAATAAAATCAAGATTTATAAGCTTATAATGAATTATATATTTACTAATCTCAAGTTCAGAATTATTTTCTTTTAGTTTAGTCTTGAGTTTCAGTATTATAGTAAAATAATTACTATATATTTCATAATCATTTTAATATGATAATATTTTTGGAAAGTCAATTTTTGAGAATAATTAGATGAGTAATCAATGATAATTTTGCCAGTTTTATGTAATAAACTGATATATTGCTCACAAAATTATAAGAGAATATCTAATTGCTGGAAAATTTTCTTTGAGTTTTGAACATTTTGTTACCAGAGCAAATTAATGGCATTTCATTATGCTTTGATGTCATTTTGAGATGTAAAAACAAGATGTAAACAATACTAAAAGTCATTGTTTACATCTTGTTTTTTTTAAAATGGCGTTCCACTTTAATATAAACATTGGTCTAAATCGAAAAGGAGGAAATGCTATAGCAAAAAAATGTAAGTGGCCATTCTTTTCGCCGGGTACTGTACTTACAAATACATGTATCAAATATTAGCGGTAATAAAATATTCAATTAATAAAAATAACGAGATAGTAGAAAAATCTTGATTTTAAAGATAACTGCCGAAACTCTGGTTAAGGGTTACCACTCATTACTTGATTTGAGATTCTATGGGACATTGTTACCTTATACATGTATAAATTTATAAATATTTATATATATATGTATTACTTTGTGTATTTAGACAAAAGCACAATAGCGATAGTATAAAGATATATAACAGTATCATAACAATAAACAGAAAAACGCGCGGCATTGAATAAATTTACACGTATTTTTCAGTGCTACTCTTCTCAAACGATGGGTCCCCTGAAAACTCAAAACTAGAAGACACTGAGCGATATCGTACTGAATTAAAAGATAAATAAGTAAATTTGTTAACATGAAGATGAAAAAGAAAAATTTTGCATGAATAAACTAACAATAAAATCCTAAGTTTTTCCCGTAGTTTTTATGACACCGAATAGTGTTTAACATCAAGAGGATCACGAAGAAGATAGCAAGAATTCCTATAACATTACGGCAGAGTTTAATGAGCATACTGTAGCTTACAAGACAATTATTATCACATATTTACGTTACCTAGCATTAAAAGCACCTGAAAAAACGGATCGTACACTATTTGATTCTTTACGAAGCACACAGGTCCTTGTACCCTTGGTAACCTGATGCCCATTATGCACCAAGTGAACAATTTATACAAGACCGAACTCCCATAATAAATATTCGCCAGATACGAGATAAAGGTCATCCAATGTGATTCACGACGAACCTTTACAATTAATCGATAATGAATAGATTGATAGGAATTAAAAATATTTTCATTTTTTTTTTCTTAACTTACAGCCACGATCGGAAGAGATAGATAAACTATCAAAATTATCATATTGTAAGGATTGAAAAAAGAGTATAATTCAGAATCTAACGATCTTCTGAATCCAAAAGATGTCATCCACGAGGCAAGATTCATACGAAACATCCAATACGAATGAAAGAATATTGTTAGGAAAACAACACTTCCGTGAATCAATGGTAATTGATATGCATAAATTCTGTAAAGTCCTTTATATGCAACAAAAAAACCGTGTTAATTTAATTGCGGGTATGAAATTATTTATTAAATTACGTACTTTTGATAGCTGGTAATCGAGTATATTTAAATTTCGGAATGAAAGTCCATTGACTTTGAATCACCACCAGATCACATGAGTAGATTAATTAATTAAACTTTTTTCGTAAAAACACAAAAAGAACAAAACTTACTTCTGTTTAGCTAGTTGAATGATCAAAGATGTACTTAAAAACTCGACAATCGACAAATAATAAATACGAATATTCAATGCGTTAATCCTTTTACTTTCATCACACGGATGAATTTCAGATAAAGAACAGATACGTGAAAAGAATATGCGTTGAAATAAAGTTTCCATCAGCGGCGCGACATTTATTAGACAGAAAACAAGTGCATTCGAAATTGTTTTTGTCCATATCTAAGTTTAAAAAAAAATAGATGAGATTAGGCCTTTTCTGTTTGCTGAATGTAATAACCTAGTGATTAGTATTTACCGTCACGACTGCCGATATAAAGATTAGAAAATAAAGAACGGAATCAAGCAACAGTTCAGCTCTACTCAATTTGAATAAATGTAAATCTAAGAGATACAATCCAAAGTGGCATAATACAATTGTTAGAAATTTCGTTTCGTTATTCCTGAATGACACCATCTTTTAATTTGTGAGGGATTTTAAGTGCAAAAAATTATTAAACTCAATTAAGGGAGTATTGAGTCAAATAAGCTATAAAAATCGAAAGAAAACTCGATCGTCAAGGTCAAGGAAAAAAGTCTTCCTTTGTTCGAACAAACCCATCATTATATCAACCAACATTACAATCACACCACCGTATTTTCATTGAAAATCTTTAAATAGAAATAAATTCGAGGCTTTTTCGACTATTAAGTGTGTGGCTCACATGCATGGCTTGGCTCATTTGGTTTTATTACAGATCGGGAGATATTACATTGTTTTTTTAATTATGTCGGTAATGGATAGAGTTCGTGGGAACTAACTACCTGCAAGACCCGTGAACTATTACCTTTTTAATGAGAACGAGTTACTTTTTTCTTGATATATACAATTTCTTCAAGCAATCATTATTCAATATTTGGCAAAAAATTCAATAGATCTATTATTCTGCATTTGCATCTACATTGCGTATCTGTTTAAACATTATCGTCAACGTGGTAATTTGAATTAACTCAACAAATAAGAGAAACCGACCAAAACAGAAAAAAAAGATTCTCGTCTAACGCATATTTGAAATTCTACATAACGATAAACTGCACTCGACAATCCCTTATTCATAAAATCATCGATGTCCTTTCCCGTTATTGAAAAGCAGGGGAATTTGAATTATTTATTATCGTCTCTAATTGGCAATTTTTTATTTTTTATTTTTGTTTACAAGTTGATCTGGTATCTTTATAGTTGGTTATAGTTATCCCATAATTAGCATTGCAGTAAATATTTACTTTAATCGAGTATATCTGCCAAGATTATCGTTATCTAGGTAAATGCGAGGCGTGCAAGCTAACCCAGGTAATATGTTCTCTACACTACTAAATGCTGATTATGTCAACGTTAATTTGTGATCGACTATTAAACATGCCCAATATTTTTGATTACTGTCGAACATCAATATATTCATCCTTTCAAAAAAAAGAACATTGTATAGAATTTTTAATTATGAGACCCGTGCACAACATTAAACTATCGCTTATTCGTTTCTGGTATTCTTTTATAAAAATTACTCGTTTGAAAATCGCGTTTTTCTAATCAGCTTTTTTTTAATATACAAAATGAACTTTCAATACACGACTCAACGCTTAATCTACACCGCCTTTTCCAAGTACGAAAATGTCTAATTGTGGTAATTACGATCGGTTGTTACGTGACTTTAAACAATATCGATGTGTGGAGAGCTAGTGAACAAAACTGATATTAATAAATAACATCATCATAATATAACTAGTCATTATATTTAAAGTGATGACAAAAAGATTAAAAGTTTTAATAATAACTGAGTTATATTTTATTTTTAAGCCTCTTGATATAGTAAAGATTCAGATATTTAAATGTAAATTTCATTATATTAAGAGATTTAGATATAATAAATCTTAAAAACATAAACTAACTTCATTATATTAAGAAAGTTTATATAACTCTTGAAATTTATAATATGTTAAATCTTTGACAATTTACATTAAAATTTGGTCTATAATGATTTTTTAAAAGGAATATATTGATATCTAATTATCAAAATCATATAAAAATATTATTATTTGATTCGTGTCTAGACAAATTGAATATTGATATTTTCATATAAATTTTAAATTATATATGTTCTGTAAGTAAAATATTTAATCTATTTACAGATTTTATTATTATTAAAAATTCTTAAAAATCAATAAATTTTATTTAAATATTGATAATCTTATTATAGTTTCCTAATTGAAATATTGAACTAAACTTGAGTTTAGATTTAAAGTAAATTCAAAAAATCAAATTAAACTTGAATTAGACTTTTTTAAGTTTGAGGCCAGTTTGAGTTTAAGCTCAAGTCTAATTCAAGTTTAAATCAAATTACTTAAGTGATTTTAAGTAAAGTATAGTCTGAATCCTTGATTATAATTTTATATAAGATATATTATAATAAAAATATTGATGTTTGTTAAAATATTTAATATTTAAAATAAATTATTTTTTATTTAAAAATAAGAATATTTAGTTTTTTAATAATATTTTTAATTTTTTAATAAGAATTATATAAAATAATTTAAGTAAAATCATAGTTCTTATCTAGAATTACAAAGTTTATTAAAATTATTTATAAAAAAATATTATTTATAAAAATATATTATATTTATAATAATAAAATATAATTATTTAAATAAACATATTTTAGTTTTATTTAATTAAAGTTAAGATTTGAATAATTATACTTATAAGTAAAATTATAATTCTTATTTAAAGTTATAATTCTTACTAAGATATATCATAATAAAATATTATTATTATTTAAATAAAAATATTTAATTTATTTTAATTAAAATCAAAATTTTAAATAATAATTTATTTTATATTTATAAATAAATTATAGCTCTTATTTAAGATTATAATTTCTATTATTATATTTGAAATCAATTTTAAACTTAAGTTTAATTTTAATTTAAGTTCAAAATTTTTAAATATTTTTTTTGAGATTTAAATTCAAGTTTAATTTAAACTTTAAATATAAAATATAAGTTTAAGTTTAATTTAAATTTAAATTAAATTCAAATTAAATTAGATTTTTTTAAAATATTAATCTTATTATAAATATAAAATTTAAAAAATTTATATATTAATAATGGAATAATCTAAATGGAACACCCTGTTCCAGGAACAACCTCAAAAAATTGGTAAATCATGTGAGATCTGTAACCAAT